ATGTCAATTCCTTGGCAACCTTTCAAACAATTTCAAAACTCACCGGAATTGTATATGTGCCAGTTATGTGGATGATAAAGTCTAGCTCTGCTTGGGAGACCCTGCCTCACATCCTTGAGTAAGCCTTGCTTTTTATCCTGAATGCCTCCTCTTCTCATAACTCTCATGTGTGAATCTATCCTAAGAATCTCCTTTTTAACAAACTCCAATTCTGCCTCACACAAACTCCTAATGAAATCCGAGGATCCAGTTTCATATGAGTGCAGAGCCTGAGGAGAACAAGGAAGTCTGTAAGCTGCTGCAGGCAACAGCATGGAGCAGGGGCTCCACCACCTAAGTATGGAAGTAGGTGGGGTAGATGGCTCAGTGGTTAAGAGCACTGGCTGCTCTCCCAGAGGACCCATGTTCAATTCCCAGCAACCACACAGCAGCTCACAACTGCCTGAAACTCCAGTTACAAGGGATCTGGCACTCTTACACAGACATACATGCAGACAAAATATCAATGCACATTTTAAAAAATTTATTTTAAGTATGAAAAGTTATGGAAGTGTCCCAGGCCTGAGGCTAATTCTTAACCTGGCCAACCAAAGAGTCAAAACACAGTATGCAAAAGACTGTCTCTTTCAATAGGACTAAGCAGCCACACACTACAAAGAATGGAAGCTTACAGAATTAGTTGGGAAAAGTGATTAAACAATACCTAAAACAACAGTAACAACAAGAAGAAAACTCTGGAAAGGAGGTACAATCCAATTTGCAGAGTGGTTGTATTATATTTTTAAATACAAGACACAGAGACACAAGTCAGGAGCTGTAGAAATGGCTCACTAGTTAAGAACACTTATTGCTCTTCTGAAGGACCTGATTTTGGTTCCCAGCCTCTACATGGTGGCTCACAACCAACTGTAATTCCAGTCCCAGGGGATCTGATGACCTTTCCCAGCCTCCATTAGCATTGTGCACACATGATGCACATAGGCATGTACAGATAAAACATTCACACATGTAAAATATAATAATAATTGTTTTATTTTTAAAATGTATGAGACACACAAAGAAACAAGAAAATATGACTCCCACATTTGAAAATCAGGCGAGGATCCTTAGACACTGAACGTCACTACACAAAGACTTAAGTTTCTACTTTGAATTTGTTCAATAAACACGCATCTAGGAAACTGTTCCCATCACTGTTCTATTGTTGTCCTTAAAAACTATGACCAAAGCAACTTACAAAAGGAAGCATTTAGCTGGGGGCTTGCTTAGGCTTTCAGAAGATGAGACCTTGATCGTCACGGCAGAAAGCATGGCAGCAGGCAGCCAAGCATGACTCTGGAGCAGTAGCTGAGAGCTCACAACTGATCCAAACGTTCCAGGAGGCAGACAAAAGTTCTTCCACAAGTGTTCATGCATGCTTACACTCATGCACATACACCTACACATGTATGTATAGATGAACATACATATAGACAAACAAATACATATATACATTTGGTGGATGGGGCTGAGTCCTAAATGCCATACTTTATTCCTTCTCTCTGACCTTCTTATACCTTCTCAGACAAAAGTTCTTTATAAAATTACCTCATAGATAAAATGTTACACAAAAGGGGGGTTACAGAAGGATATCAAGAGTAAGTTCAAAGCAGTGTTTTATTCTAAGCTCATTATAAGTTCAAAGCAACAGTTTCACACGGCCTTACTTTATCACAGTGCACACCTATGGCTTCATCTTTGGCCCTGACCTACAATGAATGTTTTCCCTTGATCACAAATCTGTCCCAAGCCTATTTCTCTTCTTAGTGTAATTTATGAAAGCTCATTATGCAGTCTTTACTTACTATTCCATGAGGAGGGGGCACATTTTATATTTATTATATTTCATAGCAAAACAACTAAAACCATCTCATTAAACTTTCTTCTTAAAGTTATTTTAATCAAATCATGAATGCTATAAAGTCATTAATTCATCTGAACAGCATTAATTCATGAGAGTTAATCTTCGTGTTGACCTGTAGGAAATTTTCCCAATGGGGTGTGCTGATGCCCAGGAGTCACTAGATCATGTAATAGCTGCAGGAAAAGCATATCAGCAGCAAGAAGCAATCCCGGGATGAAGTCTCTGGGGCTGTGCCTCTCCAGAATGCAACATTACAGTCATATAAAATGGTCAGTCATCTCCAGGATATTCACTTGCTTGCCATAGCTTTTTCTAGTTGACTTCTGTCATGGCATGACCAAAGACAACTCACAGGCAAAGAGTCTGTTTGGGCTTATGGCTACAGAAGGAGAGTCTACAATGCTGGGGGATGCCATGCTGGGGCATGGCAGCAGAGAGCTGGAGCAGGAAACCAGCTGATCACATTTCTAACAACACAGAGGAATTGAAGAGAATGAATTATAAGTAAGACGAAGGTACAGAATCTCAAAGCCCACTTTCAGGGATGTACTTCCTCCAGCAAGGATCCCTCTCTTTAAAGTCCCATAACTTCCTTAAGCAGTGCCATCAACCATGGTCAAATGTTTGGACTTGTGAGCTTATGGGGAACCCTTACATTTAAACAACCACAGCCCTGTACAACATAATGGAACATTGTGAAGGTATTGACACCTGACTGGTCTAATTACAAAGGGACCAAAGACAGACAATACCTACATGAGAAGTTTATTCTTGGGGTGATGACGTGGTTAACACTGGCCCCAAAAGAAGGTCACAAAGGAAGCTGTCCCCACTGTGCTGCTCCAGGATCTGGAACCAGTCAACGTCTTCCTGGAAGACAAGCAAAACATCAAGCACAGGGACTCTGGGTTAGCTAGACTATTCAATCATGATAAATATTTTAAACGTCTGTTGTTACATGTTGTTATTACATGTCTTCTGAACAAATGAGCCTTCTTTAATTATCATGGAAAATCAGATATCTGGTCCCTGGGTTGTTCAGCCTATCGATTATGTGCATTGATGTCTCCAACTACTACTTTTAACCAGAAAGAAGTATATAGAAAAATCTGTAGGCAGATGCAGGTGAATCCCAGGTGTGGCTCTGATGAGATGAATGCCATCACTATGGGGATATTAATCAGAAAGGGTTGCCATGGACAGCCCTGAGAACTGTCTGATATCTCAACTGACAGTAAACACACAAAGAAAATTTTGAGAGGGTGACTCTTAGGACCCCTTCAGTGTTGCAGGCTTCCAGCCTCAAGCTGAGGGACCTGAAATGGGGGAAAGGCAATTATAAAAGCAAGAACCAGATGGTAAAGCCAAAGGAGGGCAGAAGGAACATGAATAGCACATTCAAGAGAGACCAGACATGTTCTAAATGTTTATGTATATGGGATGTATGTATCTGTATACATAAGTACAGTTGCCCACAAAGGCCAGAATACACTGTCTGATCATCTGGAGCCTGAGTTACAGGTGATTGTAAGCTGCCCAACACGATGGGTGCTGGGAACTGAACCTGTCTCCCACCAGAGCAGCAAGTGCTCTTAGCTGCTAAGCCATCTCTTCTGCCCCAGTCCAGAGATCCTTGACCCTCCATCCCCAATAATTTAAAAAAAAAAAAGCTCATTTTGCTGTGAAAAGTAGAGAAGATAATGAGAAATGAGAATTCAGAGAACATTCGCTTCCAACCTAAGTACAAGGACCAAAAACCCCACTTGCCCAGCGACACTCAAGCAGTTAGATATTGAAAGACCTAAGCAGATGGATTCTGTGAACTAGGCCAGGAGAAAGGAGAGAGAGAGAGAGAGAGAGAGAGAGAGAGAGAGAGCTGTTGTTGAAGTCCTGATTTGCTAAAGGAACAAAGCCAATAGATGAGCTGATATATACAAACTCCAATTCCCACATTGCACAGCTCTCAAACCTCAGTAACCTAAGCCCCGAGAGCTCCAATACCCTCTCTGGTCTCTATGGGTATCCAAACACATGTGTACATACACTCACCATAACATACATGCACAGATATGTGGGAATACATGCATGAATAAAATAATATATAAACATACATCCTCACATGATTATGTGCAACATATGGGTGCATATGCCAGAGGAAAGCACTAGGCATCAAGTCTGCTGGAACTAGAGTTTATGGCGTAGGTGCCAGAATCCAAACCTGGGTCCTTGGCAAGAACCATAAACACTCTTAGCCAGTAAGCTGTCTCCAGAGATAATAAGCTATCTCCCCAAATAAATATTTATTAGAATTGGGAGGCATGATGTGGGAAATCAGGCAAGCAAGTGTGAGGAGGCCATCTCTATCTCTCAGGACACTGATGAGGAGAAAGACCAAGTATGAATGTCCCTCTGTCTTGCTGCCACCTTGTGCTTGAGCTCCAGTTCTTACTGTCAAAGCTTGTCTCCACCCACAGGATTCTGAGGGCCTGCAACATGTTTGGTGCTGCCATTGTTTGTATGTTGTTATGACTTCTGGCTCTGCCCTGTCCTTTCTGGGTCACTCGTCCTAACCAGAACTCAGTTTTCTCCTCTGTAAACAAGAAGCGTCCCTATCAGGAATAGTGTGAAGACCTACACACATGCATGTACGCACACACGCACCTACACACACATGTGCGTAGAATTGAGGGATAGCTCAGAGCTAAGAAAGCCACATGTAGTATGAGCAAAGTATCACCAAATGGAGAGAAAGAACAAGACCAGGGAAGGATGAGACTGGGAGCTAAGAATGAAGTTCCTGGCACGGCTCCCTCACATTTCAAACTTGATCTTCCTGACACCCATGAGCATGGATCTCTAACCTAAGCCTCATGCATGGGACCATGAAGTCTTTAATAACCTGTCTTCTCAAGTCTTCTCGTTTAGCTTGTGAACAAACAGCTGACTTGACTCATCTGTTAGTGTGATTGATGATTACTCACTTCGCAGAACAGTGAGAGACACGAGCCGATTGCAGAATTCGGGATTATCTAGAAACCCATCATCTAATTTCATGTTTCCTAATTCCTGTTCTATAAAAGAGGCTATCACCTCCTCAGCAGAAACAGGTAGAAGAGGAGCCCAGGACGGCCACTGAGACCTTGAGACTCAGGTAAGAACTGACCCATCCTCTGCTCCACCACTCTGGGTAGCAGGAGGCCAGGGCTTTACTGCTGCCAGATGGTACTGTCACTCACTGGGGACCTAACACCAAAAATAAACACTAACACCCTTATCGGGGGCCAGGACTGGCCATTTCCTAGACAGGGCAGCATTGATAAAGCAGTGAGCTCACTTTATGTACCCTAAGTAAAAACTAGAGAAAAGACATTTTAACACGGTTACCATCACTGGGTGAGAGGCTGCCTGTGGCCATGTGAACCTTTTGGCTCTTAATGATATCCAAATGCCATCATGGCCTGAAAACAGACCAAAGAACCATCCCTTAGCAGAGATGATGGCCGAGCAGTTCAGGTCTTCAGCCTCTGTCATGAGGGAGCCTCTTTATCCACACTGAAGAACAGGGTGAGGACAATGGATCAGGCCACCACAGTCTCGTCCCACAGCCCCAGAGTAAACCTAATTCAACAGAACCTTCTGGGCCAGGCAGGAATGGCTTCAGAGCCTCTCACAGCTGCAACTAGTGACCTTGGGGAAAACTGCCTAGAGTCACTAGGCCTGTGCTCCAACTGTGCAGTAGGGGTTGTCTGTGCTCATATCTGAGGATGTGGTGACGATGAAGTTGGTGACTGAATGCATCAGCCTGTGGCTTGGCACAGACTACTGTGGCAGTGTTAGCTACTGTTACTAGATATCAGCCCCTGGGGTCAGGGGCAACAATGGCAATCCCATCCCCTGGGGATAGGGCATGCAGTACAGAGAATCCTCTGATATCTGTACCACAGAGAACTTGTCATTCTGTCTACAGACACCAAGAGAGATGTTTCTAATTGGGAGCCTCGTTGTCCTCTGTGGGCTGCTGGCCCAGGGCACAGCCCAGCTGGCAGGCCTGCCCTATCCCCTGGGCCAAGATCTTCCCATGTCCATGGGCCACTGCCGGTCCTTGCATGTGGGCCAGACCATGCCCTACTATGGAGTGCCTCCAGTCGTGTCTACGTATCCTTCAGAATATCTTGCTAGAAACTTCAGAGATGGTAAGTGAGCCTTTGACAGTCTCTTTCAGGTAGGGGAGTGTGTGTGTGTGTGTGTGTGTGTGTGTGTGTGTGTGTGTGTGTGTTTCTATGCAGATGCTCTAGTCTATCCAGCTTCTCAATCATAGGAAGGGAATCATCAGTGAAAAAGGGGGAGAGCAGCAGGTCTCAGCCTTCCTAATGCTGCAACTCTTCAGTACAGTTCCTCCTGTTATGGCGACCTCCAACCCTTAAAATTATCTCCGTTATTACTTCTTAACTGTAACTTTGCTAACTGTTGGGAATCATAACGTAAATATCTGTGTTTTCTGATGGTCTTAGGCAAGGTCTTCGCCCACAGGCTGAGAACCACTGCTCTAGAGTTAGCAGATATAACCCCTGAGATTCTCTGCTTTGTAGCTTTCAGACAAGGCCTGCTGTCTGGGGGAATTCTGAGCTTTCTGGAACACATACCACTCTTGAACTACGTGAGACCAAGCAATACTGGTGGCCTGGTTGGGGCGCTTGGAAAAGTGATTTCATCAATCCCTATCTTGAACAACATCCTTGAGTGAGTTACCTAAAGTACAGACTTCATCCCTGCTAGTGACTGAAGATCTGTCAACCCCAAGCAGCAGCCAAACAGAAGGAGAGGGATGGGCTGAGGATGGACCCAGGGCTCGGCCCCAGGCCTCTCTTCACTCTGGAAGGAACAATGGCCCTTTTGCATCTGTAGTTGCCCCAAGTCCAAAGGCACATCCTGGGCTCCAACAGAAGCTATTATCTCTGTGACAAGCCTTCCATGTCAGCTCCATATTCCTCAGTTCTCAGATGGAAAACCGAGGCACAGAGATGTGCCCACACTCACATAGGTGATGCAGTCAGGAATCTAACTCAGAGAAGCCCCAAGCTTTGCCACACACTGCGGTCACTGTGTCCATCCCACCATGGGAATGTGAACAGTCACTAGGCTACCCTCCTCATCTGTATCAACTGTGCCTGAGACCTGACATGGTACTTCCCATGACAGCTTCCTAGGCACGAAGCCACAATGGGGAGCTTATTGCTGTGACCACACACTCAAGGCTGAGTCCTTAGTAAGACTGGACCCAAGCCATTGCCAAGATTCCTAGCCTCCTGGGCCTTTGCTTCCTGACCTACAGACAGTCAGACAGACAGACTTCAGTGCTGGATTATCTAAGGTCAGGCACCTGGTCTCCTGGGTTTGATTTCTCCATCTGTGAGGTGGAGAGAAAGACTCTGGAGAAGACCAGGGAAGGTAAATAGGACACCATAGATCAGAGAAGGCTTTCTCCCACCCTTTCTCATTCTTTACAACTTCCTGAATCTTAAAGGTCATGACAGGTTGAGTAATTTCCATCATGCCTCTTAAGCAGGATTTATTCTGGTTGCCCATGTATCTTCTCTATGTGTACTGACAATCCATCCTTCCTTTCATCTAACCACTCCCCTTCCATCTACCCTCCCACATATCCAATTACTAATCTTCCTACCAACTTAAAAGTCAGCCTCTTTCTTTGAAGAGCTCTCAACTAGCATACCCAAGTCCCTTTCCTCAAATATCTCCTAGACTCAAGGTAAACAGAGGTCTAGGTATGTTGGAATCTGATCCGGAAGGAAGTTGGAAATGATAGGGATGTGGCTCAGAACCCAGGGTGGGTTCTTCACATCTTCCTCATCTCAGGTGGTCAGCTCTCCCTCTGAGATGAGTACATTTAATTTAAGCTGGTTCCCAGGTCTGAGACTAAACATGCTAATGTTTCTCTCCGGCCAGCATAAAAGTCACTAATCCCCAGCTACTGGAAATCGGTCTTGTGCAGAGCTATGATTTCCACCGCCTCTATGTCACCATCCCACTGGGCTTTGATCTCAAAGTGAACACGTGAGTAGGTCTCAAGGAGGGTAGGGATGGGGGATGAGTCACAAAAGGAGTTGGCTATGGAAAGCTGGAAAGGCCTGACCCTTGACCCTTACCTATTTGATGTTGTGTTGAATAAACTCAGGTCATGTGGAAAATACACTTGACCTCTCTGAGCCTTGATTTCCCCTAATGGGAACAGAGATCAATATCACTGTGGCAAAACGAAGTAAGGTGAGGCTGACACTCCTGCCAAGAAGAAACACGCCACCTTGAAATGTGAGAGGCCAGATGCCAATAGAGCTCTTTCTACCTTCTCTGTCAGACTGTTGGTTGGAAATCTGTTGGAGCTGTCTGTGAAGCTGGATGTCACTGCAGAAGTCTATGCTGTGAGAGATACTTACGGGAGGAGCCGTCTGGTCATTGGTGACTGTATTTACCCTCCTGGCAGCTTGCGTATCTCCTTGCTTAATAGGTAAGGTCAAGGGTGGGCTTCTCCTACCCAGGGATAGTTGGGTAAAAGATGGAACAAAGGAAGGATGAATGAATAAGCGGACATGAAGAAAGATGTGTTGGGTGAGGAAGTGTGGGTGAATGGGTGTATGAGTGGATGGATCGATGGTGGTTGGATGGGTGGATGAGTGGATGGGTGGATGAGTGGGTGGATGAGTGGGTGGATGGATGGGTGGATGGATGGATGGATGGATAGATGAGTAGGCTGATGGATGTGTGGGTGGATAGATGGATGGGTAGGCAGATGAGTGGATGGGTGGATGAGTAGATGGATGGATGAGTGGGTGGATGGATGGATGGATGGATGGATGGGTAGGCAGATGAGTGGACGGTAAAATGTTTAGTGGATAGGAGACAGATGTATAGGCGGGTGTATGAATAGATCAGTAAATGGATAAATAAATGCTTACTTACTCCTTATTAAACCAAAATAACCAACTTAATGTTGGATAGGCCATATAGAATATGGTTTAAGACCAACTTTTATAACCTGATGGAGAGAGTCGGAGAGCCTCTGACATGAACCTGATCAGTGTTCCTCAAATTTGGTCCCACCTTGTTTATCTATAACACAAGACTATATGACATTATTAATAGAATCCTACTAAGAGGTATTAGATGTGGCGCCCATTTCGATTGCTTGTTCCAGTTGCCTGTCACATGGAAAGACCCAGGCATACGTAGTGCATAGGGCCTGTCCATATCATGGCCCAAATGTATTGAACACATATATTGGACTTTGTTTGTATTGTTTCATCAAGTCTCCATGACAACTACTTACTAAGTACTTTCCATGCATTCATGTATTCCACAGTCTTGTCCCTGGTGCATTTGTTCTGGGCTCATCTGTGCGTGCACAGCTGGGTTGGGTGTAACTCTCTTCATCTAGGATCCTTGCTGCTCATGGTCAGAAGTGGGGAAGGCCTGCTCTCACTTATAGTATGCATAACGGCTTCTGAACTTGTCCAGCCCAACCCCAAGCCTCTGAGTCACATCCATGCCTTTCTCTTCCAGACTTGGTCCCCTGCAAAACCTTATAGACAGCCTCACAGACATCTTAACTAGAGTCATTCCTGGCCTGGTGCAGGGTGTGGTAAGTGACAGTCCCCTATTTCATGGGTCTTAGAGTTTTTAGGCTGAGTTACTCTGTCTGAAAACCGTCCATCCATCAGTCCATCGGTCCTGTGATCCAGCTATCTGTGTTAATTCTTTCTACTCCTCCAAATACATTTGGCTGGCTTTTTATGGGCTGTAGAAAGTGTTCTTGGATGTATTCCACCATGAGCCTGCTGCTTCTCCTAGGGTCTCCTTGCAGGAGGTCCTGTGCCTAACTCCCCTCTCTACCCTGGGTCAGGTGTGTCCTCTGGTCAATGGGGTTCTCGGCCTCTTGGATGTCACCCTAGCACATGATCTTGCTGGTAAGTGCTGTTTCCAAGTCCCATCTCCCTCTAAGGAAGCATTAGTTTCCCACAAGTTTTGTCCCTATGCACCATGGAACTTATGGTCTTATTAGCCACACCCCTCCTAGATTGGGGTGTCTTTGTTTCTATGAATGATCCAGATGAGTTTGAGGTAATGTCTGTTTCCTACTTAGCCTGACCTAAAAGCAGCTGGGCTGGCTGGAGGTGGGGGTAAGGGGGACTAGTGCGTCCCAACACATCTAGGTGTGTCAACCATGGCTGGTGCTCCAGAGTCTCAGGAAGCACTCAGGCTCTCCTTGGACTCCTTTGCTTCCAGATAACTACTTTAACCATTCTTTTCTAGATGTGCTGCTCCGTGGAGTACAAATTGTCATTAAGGCCTAAGCCCTCCAAGAAAGCTCTCTGCTGTGATGGTAAATGCTGTTCCCATTCTCCAGGATTTGTGGATGAGCTGTCATCCTCAATGACAGGGAAGTGAGGATCCTGAGACAGTAGCACCACTCTGAGCAGCAGACCTTTAACACATGAGTCTGGGGGAAAGATGCTAGATCCAAGTTATAGCAATACTCAAGGAAAGAGACAAATGTGAACATAGACACACAAAGATACACCAAATCCCTCAGATAACTGACAGATGCGGAGATGGACTGGTACCACATACATATTCAAAGAGAAATAGATGTGGTTATGGGTACACACTCCTGCACTTAGTCATAACAGTCAAACCCTCATCCACAGGGCACACACATACAGACTCACTAGCCAAGTCCCTGTGGTTAAACAGACACATACTCCAACACATGCACAACGAGCCGTAGAGACAGCCTGGGATCTGAGCATGCTCTTGTCTTTCAGAGAGCCAATTCCTAACAGGACAGTACTAGTGAGAGTCACTGACCTTGGCCTTCCTCCTGACTGAACTCTTCTTCCAACAGAACCATTTCTTGCTGCTCCATTCTCTCCCTCCTGCCCAGCTTACATGGCTCACAGAAGGGAGCTCCATGTTCTGAAAAATGGCGTGACCAACTTCACAAGGAATCTGCTCTCCTCCTTTCTCAGGCTTGATGGATATTCCATGTTCATCATTAAATAAAATGCTTCTTCCTCTACACTGGGGCCTTCTGTTTCTCCCATCACTTGAGAGGCTCCAGAGAGTTCCGACTAGGTCGTCAGGGTCCTACAAGAGCTGGACCTCTCATACTACAGGAATGAGAGTTATCAACGAACAGCTGAGGGCTTGGGTCTGGGTGAATGGAGATTTGGGGTGACTGCCTTCCTATTCTCACAAAGTATACATGAGGAAGCTAGGAGTGGATAAACACTCAGGCATAGATGTACACACACAGTATTACCACACAAAAAGTGATGGGGGAAATGAGAAGGATCTAAGAGCTGGGCAGGGTGTGTGCAGACATATATGGCTCAGGTCTACATCTCTGGCTGGGGATTCCTGGTGTCTTTCTTGGGGCTTATATTACTGTGTTAAAACACCATGGCCAGGGTCTGGAGAGATGGATCAGTGGTTAAGAACATGTGTTGCTCTTGTAGCCGATATGGGTTTAATGCCTAGAACCCACGTGATGACTCTCTGCCATCTATAACTCTAGTTTCAAAAGACTCAATGTCCTCTTCTATTCTGAGGGCACCAAGCACATACATGGTACACATATGTACATGTGAGTAAAATACTCATACACATATACAATTGATTGATAGATAGATAGAAAGAAAGAGAGAAAGAAAGAAAGATAGATAGATCTAAGATTTATTTAAAAAAAAAAAAGCACCATGACCAAGCAACTTGGAAAGGAAAAGATTTCTTTAACCTATAAGTCCATCACTGAAGGAAGCCAGGGAAGGAACCAAGGGAAGAACCTGGAAGCAGAAACAGAAGCAGAAGTCATGAAGAAACACTGCTTACAGATCGCTCCTCAACCTGCCTTCTTATACACTGCCTGCCTGGGTTGGCCTTACCCCTCCCCTCCCATGAGCTGGGCCCTCCCACGTTAATCATTAATAAAGAAAATGAAATAGAGAAGCCATTTCTCAATTGAGAATTCTTCTTCCCAAATAACTCTAGCTTGCTAACTAGCACAACTGACCCTTGTCAACTTGACACACAGGTGCATCAATATTCAATTAAATTTTTTCCTTTCTCATTTTCCTCCAAGATGGCATGTTAATATTAGTATCACAATATAGAACAATCCAACTTTTAAAAGTCTCAGTCTTTAAAAGTTCCAATACTCTAAAAGTTCAGTCTCTCTAAAATATCCAGTCTTTCTAAAATTCCAAAATCTCTCCATTGTGAGTTCCCGTAAAGCCAAAAATAAGGTAAATCCTTTATTACACCAAGAGGGAAGAATCAGGGTACAGTTAGAGTCAGACCAACTCAAAACCGAAGTCTAGCAATGCAAAGCTCAGTGTCAGACTTCTGGGACTCAGTTATGATAGTCTAGGCTCCAAAGGGCTTGCCACAGGACAGCCAGTGCCTCTCTGAGGCTTAGGAAAACGCCACTTCATGGCTGCTGACATCCTCAGTGGTCACCCCATGTATGAAACTGGCATCTTCAAAATGTTGGCATCTCCACATCCACTCGGCTGCACCTTCACCAGTAGCCTCTCTTGGGCTCTCTTTAGGGACTCTGACCCTGCCACACTGTGCCAAGCCTCAACTTCTCTTCATGATCTCTTCATCCCTGGGGCTTCCACTACCTGAAGGTGCACTTTCACCAACGCCTCCTCCAAGACACTCCTCAGGGACTCAAGTCCTGCCAAAACAGTGTCAAGAAAGTCTCAACTGTGGCCCCCCCCCCCCCCCCCCCGGTGCTCTGTCAAAACTAGCACCACCTGGGAGACTCTTACACTTGCCAAGTTTGACTGCCAACACAATACACAGCCTTAGCCCCTCTGGTGCACATTTTCAGTGAGATGATCCTGAAGGAACACTTTCCAGAAGATTTCACCTCAGTGATGCTGGTCTCTTCTTAATCACCACTAATTTTTCAGCTCCAGCTGACGAGCATTGATTTTCCCAGCAAAGCAAAGGTTTTACCTTAGTGGTTCTTGTCTCTTGTTAACCACAGTCAATTCTTCAGCCTCCAAACTATAACAAGTTTACACACAACGCAGCAGGGGACTTCCCCCAAAAACCTGACTGGGAGAGAAGCAGGCAGCTCTTTATGGCCTGTTCTCCAAAGCCACACACATCGCTTTCTCTGCATCTCTCTTCACTAGCATCCAGTCACCAAGAGAGGGAGGATCAAGCTCTCACTCTGGAAGAGAGCAACTGACACCTGTGGGCAAGGCTGACGGCCATCTTCCCTCTGCCTTCCAGACACCCTGGGCGTGGCCACAGGCACAGGTGTGCCGTGTCCTTGAAAGCTGCCTTTTCACCCAGATTCTTCTTTCTTTGAAGATGAAATGGCCGTGGTGTGGGGTTTGGGTCTTGTGTGGTTGTTTTGATTGTTTACTCCATCGCTGTGTCCCTCCCCACTCTGTCCATACCAGGCAGTTACTCTACTGGGCAGTGAAGAAAAGGTTCCCCATGTTTCCATGGCTCTCTGTCTGCCATGTCTCCCCCATCCAGGGCCTGTGTGAGGGACGCTCAGGTGGAGTCCGGACAAAGCATGAAGTAACCGTAACCCATGGGACAGCCATGTTTTTCTCCATAACCACTCACTTACCATCTAACTGCAGCAAGAGTAATGTCCTGACTGGGAGGCAGCTTTTCTTGAATACTCTGGGTGAATGCTGTCTTGGGCATTAGGTGGGGGCCAGGGAGAGATTCTTTTCATCACATTATCTAAAAAAAAAATTATAAATTTACTGGCATCCATCTCTCACTTGTATCTAGTTTGTAGTCACCGTCCATTAAGACAGTTTGCTTCTGAGAGTTTTTTAACTTAATCCCATAGGTCGGGTTAGGTGACTCAGCAGGTAGAGGCACGTGTGTCACTGAGCCTGAAGGCCCCAGTGCTGGGATCAAACTCAGGTCTTTATTCCTCTTTACAAGCACTGGAAAGACTAAGCCATCTCCTAAGAACCTAGATGTCTTGAAATAAAAAATGAGGAGCATTTAGAGGAATATATGAAGGAAATAAACGAGATGTTGGGGGCTTCTTGAAGTCGAGATCTCCTGGCTACTAATCAAGCATCAGAGTGCAGTTGTCTGTGCAACCACAAGAGGGAGCAAATGTACATGCTATTCCCCCACTGTAGGCCGAAGAAACTGTGTGTGTGTGTGTGTGTGTGTGTGTGTGTGTGTGTGTGTGTTCACAAATGTTCCACGGACTACATATGTATGTCCCAATACAGCTTCCTGGAGTCAGTTCTCTCTCCGTGTGAGTTCTCTGGACCATGTGAGTCCTAGGTTCCTGTTCCACCTTCCTCCTTGAATGGAATGAGCAGACAGCAAAAAGTAAAAACATGGGATGCTTTGTCAATTCAGAGGTAACAACCTCTACGCTGGTAAAACAACTTAAGGCAGATTGCCAGAGGGATTAAAATGAACTGAGTTTGAGCTCTTCACAGCAGATGAGAAGTTGTCATTCTGACGCAGCTACAGCTCAATGCTCTCAAGAGCCTTCCCCTGCAGGCAAGGCTGCAGCTCTGGCCAGCATTGTGGTTCTCTCAGACTTCCTGAGCAGCAGATCTCTGAGATATCAGGTGGCTTCCACCTCCAGCGTATGGAAACTGTTCCAAAGGCCCAGGCAGGAACAAGTTCCTGAGGCCTGCAATGGCAGGTAGAGACAGAAAAGTCCTCAGGTGCCAGGTCCTCCACCTTTGAGAGATCCACACAGAGTTGTCAAAAGTTACCAGCAGGTCTGAGTGGCAGGGGCCATATGTCCTTTTTTTTCCAACCTGTCCCATTGGGCTTTGGCTGTCAAAAGCTGGGTACTTGAGTGGCAGGAGTAGTTTTCTCTGTGGCTTCCTTGTCTCCAAGGCTTGAGCTCCAAGCCCACCTTCCCCAGCACCCCTGAATCCACATGGAGCAGGACGCCCAGCACCCAAGACCCTTTCACCCCAACCACAGTTGATCAAACTCAGGACATTAGTCTCGGCAGGAAAGTGCCTTTATCCACTGAGCCATCTCAAGTCCAAGATGGAGCAAACACTGTGCAGCAGTCTACTGTCCCGAAAGACTCCATGTCTCTTAAGTCAGAGCTTTGTGAGCAGGGAGTGCCAGTCAGTCTCCACAGCCCATACTGCTTGCTGCAGGTGGAAAAACTCATGCACTCCAGACATTTTTAAACTGGGTCTCTAATAGTGGCTAGCTTCAAATAAACTCCCTCTGTAACCAAGGATGACTTTGACTTTCAGATCCTCCTGCCTCTACCAAGTGGAAGTTTCAGGATACAGATTCATGTGGTGTTTTTCTAAGAGAGACTCACATGGTCTCTCTTAGCAAGAGACACGTGGAAGAACATGAGACATTTGGAGAGAGTATAAATAGAACTCAACAGCATGCTTGCACGGCTAGCTTTGCAACACTTTGCTGGTCTCACGTCGTCATCTCTGTCCCCACTTCATTGAGAGAGGCACATTGGGAGATAGCAGTTCTCCTGTTGTCTTGGCTGGTCCGGTCACTCCTGCTGACTTGTGCTGATGAGGCGGAGGCCTGGCTGTTTCTGCTGGATCGTGCCAGCGCTGCTGATTTGTGTATAGTATCCTGACACTACTGAACTGGACTGACGGTACCTTGACAACCAGAGATTGGAATCGCCCCCAAAGAATAACTTCTAAACAGATCCACATCCCCTTGTCCTTTTTACCGCCTTTTCTCCCCTACCTTTGGACGGTGGGCTAGAAGGGGGTCGAAGCATTTGAGAACCCTTATTAAAAGTAAGTTTTGAAAACTCTAAGCCTACACCTTCACCTCCTCAGAGCTGGAATTGCAAGCATCCTAGCACATCTGCTTTATGGGATGCTGGAGCTTGAACACAAGGCTCCATTCACACTGTGCACATGCTCTACCAACTGAGCTTCAGGCTCAGCCCTGCTTCCAAAAGAAATGCATTCTTAGAATGCTGGTGAGTGCCCAGCCCAGTACTGTCAACATAGCCGTAGCTATCCCAGTCAGCACAGCATGTCCTCCTCCATTGGCTACT